TTTTTATCTTTAATATTCAAAAACTAACTAAAATTTATTTTAATTATTTTCTTATCACATACCTGTACGATTATGTTAATTTAACGTTACCAGTCATATCTTTCTTATAAAGATAAAAAATAAATGAAAACTGAGATTAAAATTAATCTATAGATTGTAAACTACAGTAGCAGAAATAGATCCTAAAGATAAAAAGTAAATTAAACTGAGTTAAAGTTAATCTATGTTGGTAGAAACGAATAAGAAATATTATTGACCAGCTTTTATGGGTTTTAGGTTTGGAAAAGAGTCCTTCCAGTGATGAAACATTTGGCATATGGAATGGAGATGAGTTTGTATTTATAGCAAGCAATTGGTCCATAGTATCGCTGATAAAATTATTTTATAGATACGGCTTTCAGCTGTATACTCTCAAGAGGTATTTAAATATTATGTAATATAAAGTATAAGAGGAGGAAAAAAGTATCATTATATTATATATTTTCTTTGAGCAGTTTTGTAAGTAACATGATAGAAGATTTTGTGAAGATATATGATCTACAGGATGCAGGGCAATCCTTTGCCAATGTTACTGCACTGCTATCAGCTATGAATAAAGATTTTCCGAAATTATTAAAGACGTCTATGAAAGAATATCTTTTGCATAAAGGTTGCACAGAGAAAATGATCAATGAATTAGTGCAAGTCGCTACCGTAGTGAATTACGGTCAGGAAGTCGATATCCAAAGTTTCGTTGGTTCTATAGCTGTGGCTGGGATGGATGGTGACTTATGGTCTATTAAGGATGGAAATAAAGGGGTAATATATTAATAACTTATTGTCTGTCCTAATTACTTGTAAAAAAATGTATAAAAAAAGTTGAAATCTTAGGTACCGGAGCATCTCATTTACAGAAATAAGAAAGTAAATGTAGTACCAAGCCGTGTTACAAAGATTCGCAATTTAACAAACAATCATGATGTAAGTCAATACGAAGTGACCTACATAAATAAAGGTGCGATAAATAAAATTTGTTTGAGAAAAAGACAAATATTTAAAGTATGTAGTGAAAAATAGCTTGCAATTATGCATTTCAGGTAGCACTGATCCAATGACGTCTAACTATGACATCGTAATTATCGCCGCACCACTTACTAGTGATCAAGAATTTCAAATAGAATTTATCGGGTTTCCGGGTAACTTGATGTTTCCAGGAAAATATCAGACAACGTATGCGACGTTCATCAAAGCGAATCTTAAACCAAAATACTTTGGCTTGCAAGAGCCTTTGGATGGGATTCTAAGTTGCAACCCCAACAAAACAACGATCAGTTCGGTCGGGAAAGTGAATTCTGTTGATGGTTCAATTAGGAAAGATCCACAAGTTTGGAAGGTCTTCAGCAGAAAACCTCTAGAGACAAGTCTTGTACACGATATGTTTTCTAAAGTATGAAATTTGCTGTAATTATTTTGTGTAAGCAAAAGCAAAACTGATATACATATTTAATTTTCTTTTTTATGTTAAGATCATCGAGAAAAAGGAAATTGCTTGGAAAGCATATCCCCGTTACTCGACAAAGATGAACTTTGATAATTTCAAACTACATGATGCACTTTATCACGTTAATGCATTTGAGTGGGCTGGAAGTTCGATGGAAATGAGTGCAATAGCTGGAAGAAACGTCGCTATTTTGGCATACAATGATTTTCTTCAGAAATTCCCTAATTCTATACTGGATAAAGAAACTTCTGAACATACATCTAAAAAATTAAATTATTCTGAGGATTTATAATATCTTTACTGTTAATAGATTTTATATATGAACATGAGAATATTTTTATAGCACATAAGTGCAATGTTGTGAATAAAAGAAGTTACGAAACAAACCAAAAATAACGTTCGAAGCTTACTAAGTTAAATATAATTTGATAAGTGATTGCGTAAAAAAACAATAAATATTGCGTTATCATTATCTATACAAATGTGACTTATTTATTAACATGTTTGCCGAGTAAATTATTTTTGTATGGCTTATTTTATAATCCGCGATAGAATCCGTAATTTTTCACACATTACCATAAATATATACACACACAAACAACAATAATAAAATAATTTATAAAATTACTACAATTATATCAGCTCATTCTGTATATATTTTTGCTCTTTTCCAAACAACAATGTGTCTAGAACACACAATGTCTAGAAGATATCTTTATATATTGTCTTTTAGATATCTTTTAGACGCGTGTTTTAAAACGTCTTTATGTCTGTGATGTTTTTTTTTTAAACATCTGTTTTTAAACATATATGTTGTCTGAGTTAGTTGTTATACATGCCATTCAAAATTTTATGTCCAATTTATTTTTTAAATAAATTTTTGCATTTTATTTATTTTTTCTATATATTTTTAAGAGTGTTTCAGAAAGTGTAGGGAATGCGGATGGTGCAGGAAAAACCGATAAAAATGGGTGCTTTCTATTTGACACAAGTCGACACGAGCGTCGTTCTATCCTTGTTGACATTCAGAGAGACAAAGAACGACACTTGTGTCGACTTGTGTCATCAAATGGAAAGCACCCAATGTTGAGTTGAAAGTACGAGTAGGTAGTGCGCTGGTTTAGCTGGTCATAATTGCAATAGATAATAAATAACACACTTATATATCAGTTGAAGACGTGGTGTAGCGGGTAACGCAAAAGATTTATATAATCCCGAGGTCACAGGTTCGAATCCCACTTAATTTAAAGTATGTTTTTACCAATTTAAATTAGTTAATTTCAGATATGAGATTAGATAAATATCTTACGCGGGGTCTACAATAGAAGTCATAGCAGTCGTAGGGTCTAATAGCGTTTTCGAATGGAGTGGGTTTGAGCCCGACCCGGATCGGTTAATCCATGTTTGACCCAAAAATATTATGACCTCGTCCAATCAGAAATCGAAATAGAGCATGTGACGTCAAAGATCCGACTCGGATCTTTGACGTCACATGCTCTATTTCGTGCTCTATTTCGTTAAAACTAGGGCTCAGACAAAAGATTCGAACAATGTTGAATGTTCGATTTATTCGAATAGTTCAAAGTTGAAAAAAATGAGCATCTAATTCGAATATTTCGGACAGTTCGAACTTAAGCAGTGATATCTATGAAATGTCAATTCGTTATGTCTGAAGTTCGAACGGTTTGGTAAACAACTATAGTAAACAAATATAGTATGCCTTGGAAACAAAAGAGCAGTTTTTCACAAGACTTGAATATACAAACATTACAAAGATGTCAAAAAGAAAAAGTCACGTGTGGGAATTTTTTATCAACTGTAATAATAAAGAAGCGCAATGCAATGTTTGTAAGGAAACAGTCTTGATATTATATATGGTTCATGAAAAACGTCTTTTCGAATATGTTCATGTTTTGTTTTATAAAATTAAAAATCGATTTTATTTATTTTTGCAATTTCTTATAGTTTAATATTTTAAAGTGCCCTTAAAAGCCGTTGTGCACAAGCCGACGTAAAGATTTACTCGTACTTACTCGTATTACTTACTCTTGTTTACTTGTATTTATTCGTCGTGACTCACGACGTGCACAAGTGATAATTAGACGCTCCCAAACAATAGCCGCAATTAACGAGCGGACTCGAACATTACACTAAAGAGCAGTTACATTACAGATACTCATAATTACATACTACACGACTTTTATAACGTTTTAGTCGTACTGTCCTCGTAAGAAAACGGGCGGAGAAAGCCATATTGAATTTAACTAGTTCTCGCATAATTGCCAAATAAAAATTGAAACATTATATCTGTGAATATATGTATCAAAAAATTGAAAAAATGTAATAAAGACATTAGAGAAGAAAAAGAGCAAATATTGTAAAGTTTATTTTAAGACTAAAAAGAATTATAATGTTTTTTAAACGTGAAGTTTCGAGTATACGCACAGAAATTGTTTGGTAGACCATTTGTATTGATATCTGTAACATAGATTGTTTTAAAATTTTTAAAATTGGTAATTTGCAGTAAAAAAAAATAAAATATCGCAATTAGTATTAAATAACACATTCTAAATGATATTCTTGAAGTACTGATATAGACAGAATTATTTTGGTAGAACTACTTGATATTTGAACACACATTTTCATCAAATGTTTAAAATTTGCATTTTATAGTTAAAAAAAATTGAAACGATTATTTAATCTATATTGGATTTTTTCTTATAAAATTGCATTTTTTAAGTAATAATAATAATATTGATAATTGACTATTACTAATATGAAAAAATATTATAAAATTATTGAAATATGCATTTTTTAAAATAAAAAGTAAATGAATAATTAGACTAATACTCGTTTTTATCCGGGGGAATGTCACGTGGCGTGAGGGTCCGGGCGGAGCGGGAACTCCGGTTGGATTCTGTTCCCCCTCACAAATTTAATGGGCGGACGGGGCGAGGGGGAGGTGTCCCCTCCTCGCCCGTACAAAGGAAGTAGAGTCAAATCTCCGGGAGCCCCTGCTGG